GAACATCTACCTCACACACATCCCCCTCAAAATATCCACCTCAAGGGTATTCTGGAGAAAAGCAAAGGAGATTTGGAGTACCCAGAGGACAACAGTCCTGTGGGCAGACCTTTCCTGGGCTATGAGAGAATGTCTGAGCGATGGGAATGGACAAACAAGTTTGGGGCCACCCTGAAGGAGGCTTGAGGGCTGACCTGCTTGAGGAAGACAGCTCACATCCTATTATGACATCTGGGTGGGTCACAGGCAGGGAGGCAGCTTGGGAGTGGTCATACAGCTGAGCACGTAGGCCCTGCACTGTAGACTTAAGGTCTGTGTACTTTACTGTATGCAAATGATTACCCCTAGAGTACTGGAGAGAGACAGTGCCTGCTTGTTCACAGCAAGGATCAGAGAGGATCAGACAGACAGACAGACAGACAGCAGAAGGCCTCCCTACCCCTGCTTAGCTTCTTTCTTTGTTCTGGTAGTCAAAATCCTAAACTGCGTCAAATTCTATGACACCTTCCCTAACTTACCCACTCCCCTCTAGACACAACGAGCCCTCCTCTGTTTCCATTCCCAGAGGAGGACCGAGAGCAGGGATGCCAGGACCACCACACAGGAGGTTAATGCTAAGGACCAAACGATACACACACACACACACAGAGAGAGAGAGAGAGAGAGAGAGAGAGAGAGAGAGAGAGAGAGAGAGAGAGAGAGAGAGAGAGAGAGAGAGAGAGAGAGAGAGAGAGAGAGAGAGAGAGAGAGACAGAGAGACAGAGAGAGAGAGAGAGAGAGAGAGAGACAGAGAGAGAGACAGAGAGAGAGACAGAGAGAGACAGAGAGAGACAGAGAGAGAGAAGGGGGGGAATCAGAAATCATACCATCCTGATTTCATACAGAAGACCCCACAGATGCTCACTCAAACAGCAGTGGTATATTACTTCTGATTAAAGGAATTATAAGTTTTTTTAAAAATGTGCTTTACTTTCTATATTTTAAAATGGATGAATACGCATTAATTTTTCTCTTCTGAAGAAAATGCAGACTTGTATCACCACCCCGAGACTCCTCATTGCTCCTAACTGAGCTTTGGTCTGCTTGTTTCGCCAAAAGCAAACATTTCTTGAATCGCTAGGTAAACACTGATGTGTTGCTAAGTGAACAGGAGGTACAGCACCCCACCAAAGCAGCCGTCCCCCAGACATCACAGAACTCATTTGCGATGTGCCTTTGGGTCAATTATTTTAAAATCAGACTTAAAAGCTGACTTTAATGCTAAGAAGAGGAAAAAGCTCTCTTTCCTTTACTTTGAATAGTCACCGTTCATCTTGTTTCCTCTCTGGGCACAGCAAGAGGCTCAGTCTGGTTTTGCAAGGAAGTCATAATAAGCAGATGCCTGCCTGAGTCGGGCTACTGGGCAACTCACCGTGAATCAGCGACCCAAACCTTCTAGCAGAGGCGAGTGTTTGGGGAGCCTGGAGACAGCTTCCTCCCAGGGAAAAAACTTCAAAGTCCCAGGAGAAGTTTTTACCCACAATAGCCATTTCCTACCCTCAGCTTCAAACACAAGTGAAGCCATTCCGGAAATGTGACTCCGAGAAAGGTATTAGAGGACAGTGGCTTCCACCAGAGAGACAGAAATAGAGGTGCAGGAACTGCAGGCCACCTGGTGGGGGAAACCCTGCTAACAGCCCTCCTGTGGGCTAGCCTCTTGCCGTTCTGTGCTTTCCCCTGTACCCTGAGAACACACACTCCTTGTCCACCTCCGCCCAGGGACAAGAAGGGAACCCACTTTAGACACTGTAGTCTGTCTTAGGTACCCTCGCTGCCACGCCCAGCTTCCCAATCCTTAAAATGACAGAGAAAATGAGCCATTAAGAGGATTAGCTGAGCACAGTGGCGTGCGCCTTTAATCCCAGCACTCAACTCAGGAGGCAGAGGCAGGCGGATCTCTGTGAGGTCTAGAGGCCAGCCTGGTCTACAAGAGCTAGTTCCAGGACAGCCAGGGCTACATAGTAAGACCTTGTCTAGGAACAAACAAACAGAGGATCTGCTGGCAGAACATATCCGAGGGCTGTTAAATGTGAAACACAGGGACGGGCACCAAAGGGAGGGCGTGGGGACAGTTTGCTGGTACCACACGAACATGTACCAGACTCTAACCAGAAATAAGACAATGGGTAAAAACAAAAACCTAGCAGGGGACAGAATCCTTCTGTCCCATTCCCGTTAGAGGGGGCTTGTGTGCTTGGAATGCCACTGCTTAAATAATATCCCAACTTGCTCGGGGTGAGCTGGCTCCAAGGGAAAGCTCTTGGAAGCAGATGCTTCCTGGAGAATTTGTCTTTCATGCCCACCTTTTCAAGCTGCCCCTAAGTCCTAAGCAAACATGAGCTCTGCCTTTAGCCTGGGCCTCAGCAGCCTCCGAATCTAGGCCGCGTTGGAAGAAAGCCTGGAGACTGGTCAGTGACTGGGGGACATTGTGGGGATGCCGCTGGCTCAGGTTGATGACCCATAAAGAAGGAGGGGGCACTCGACCACCCTGGAAGTGAGAGTCGGCCATCTCAGTAGCAGTCACCAGGTCAACACCACAGGCTCATGTAGGAATACAAGCCAGGAAATGAAGAATACAAAGGAAGACTATAGAACTTAATGTTTCTGGGTTCATCTTCAAAGGAAAGTAAGAAAGAGAGGTAAGTCCTGCTGTAAGCAGCTTTTATTCTCACTTTGAACAAGCGGTACAGAATAAAAAATTGATAGTATTTTTCCAGAGCCTGAGCAAAAGCGGTGTTCCCATCGATTCTCCCTCAAAATCCTTAGTACAAATTTTACGCTTGTCTGCATATAAACTTACAGGGTTTTAAGCACTTGGGTGTTATTGTTTTGAAAGGGAGGAGTCCCCCTACGGACTCCCCACATAGTAGCGCTATTCTGGCAGGCGGTGGAACCTTTTGGACATGAGGTTTAGATGGCAGGCTTAGGGCCATTGGAGTGGCTTGAGCCCATTCTCTTGCTTCCCGACTGTAGACACCAGCCACCTCACCCTACTGCTCCAGCCAGCCTCAAGCTGTTCCCACCCCCATGCCTTCCTCACCAAGATGAACTGCACCCTCTCAAACTGTGGGGCTCAATAAAACCTCGTCTCCCTAAGTTGCTTCCAGTCAGGCGTTTGGGGAGAACATGAAAATTCGGCAATACATTTGGGTATTTTTATTTGTTCGTTTGTTTTTGTTGTTGTGTGTTTGTTTGTTTCTTTAAGACTTCCCTGGCTGTCCTGGAACTCACTCTGTAGACCAGGCTGGTCTCAAGATTAAAGGTATGTGCCACCACCTGGCATAAATTTGGTTTTCAAAAGCTCTCTGCAAACGAGAAGACTGAGGAACTGGGTTTGGTGGTTCCAGGGAATCTGAAAGCCATTGTAAATGTTACCAGCTAGTGTAGATTAATGAGGTATCCAAGGGAAATATAGGAGAAACATTAAAATACAAGGTAAAATGCTGGACAATTTTCAATACACAGGTACTATGCATTCCCTTGACAGAAAAGATTTTAACAGCAAAATTGGTGTAATAAGAACACCATTATCGGGCTGGAGAGATGGCTCAGAGGTTAAGAGCATTGCCTGCTCTTCCAAAGGTCCTGAGTTCAATTCCCAGCAACCACATGATGGCTCACAACCATCTGCAATGAGGTTTGGTGCCCTCTTCTGGCCATCAGGCATACACACAGACAGAATATTGTATACATAATAAATAAATATTTTAAAAAAAAAGAACTTAAAAAAAAAAAAGAACACCATTATCCTATACGGCTCTGGGGTGTGGGCTACTGTGATGGACAGTTCCTCACACGGGCAGTTTCAAACACAATTAGGAAATTAGTGTTGTACGCACATCCTCCAACGAGCATCAAGCAACATCTCTCGACATTAGAGCCACAGCAGCATAGTCCTGGCTCTCAGACACTGCACTGGAGACCCTCCCAAATACCCAAGGGCCACATGGAAGCTCCCCCGCCATGACTACTAGCCTCTGAAAATCAACCAAATGACAAGACAGCACAAGGCAAGAACTCTCAGATGCCGGTTGTCCTGTGTCTACTCCTCGGAGTCAAACATGCACTCAGTCACCAACTCCCTGGAAGAGGGTGGAGGAAAGAGCTTCTGCCCTGTCCATCAAGTTTTAGAAACCTGCCAGGCATGTGCTAAGGATACCTCTCTGCACGGCCACAGCACAGCCTTGAGGCACAGGGGCGGAGGGGATGAATGGAGCAAGCTGTGGGACGTGCAAAGGGAGGGAGGGAGTTGGTCAGACTAAAAAGGGAGACATGGAACTCTTCTGCTTCTGGCTTGGTTGAGCCCCAAAAGAAGACCCCATTAATCTGAAGACATCAGTGGGAAACTTAACACGCATCTCTTGGAGACGAGTTGTGAATCCCGACTGATCCCAGCTTCCATTCATCCCACAACCATGGTTTCCTCTCTCCCATGCAAGGGATCAGAGGAAGCACTCAAGTGTGTTCTTGTGGCCAGTGCTCCAGACAATTTTTAATGTCCAGGGGTTAAGAGGACCCCACGACAAGGCCTCTGTAGGGATGGCTTCTCTGTCCTTAGAGTGGCAAGAGTTAAAATATTACCCAAGGTTTCATATCTACCTAAAAACGTCTAATGTTTTCTGAAAAGTCCTTGTCATAGATGATGATGACACCATGCTGTGAAGGACAGGATGTTTCTAAGCAACAAAGATACGAGCCTTTCTCCCACCATTCGTTACCTAAACACTAGCTGACTACCGAGACTGTTTCTAACACCCACAAGGCCATTTTTCCATCTGTGCTCTACAGGTACAATACGAGATCCATTGTTTACTTGCTTGCTTTGTGGTGTTGAGCCTAGAACCCAGGATGTCACGCAAGCCAAGCAAGCCCACTCCCGATAAGCAACATCCTTCGGCTAGAAAGATTCTTTGAACATCACACAAAGCCAAACAGAACAACAGGCGGGGCAGTGGACTCACTCTTTGGTCAGAAGAGGACAGGATTTGAGCAGGAAGCGTGAGAGCCCGGAGTCCTGGAAGTAGAGGTCAGGAGGGGCAGTGGGACTCTTCAGGTTCAAACACCGTACGATGACGTAGAGAACAGCAGCTACGGCAGCCAGCTTCACCCCGTCAAACACGGCGGGGAGCTCGGGGGTCTCCAGCATGGCATTCATCTTGCTCTAGAAAGCAAAGGCACAGATCTGGGCTCACAAACACGGCCAGGGCAAGGAGGGTGGAGCCCACCTCACGGCAGAGGCGTGACCCCACTCCGGATGCGCTTCACACATGCCCACAGGGTGTCCACTGACCCCCACCCATCATTATCACCTGACAACCCCGACGCCCAGCCAACACCCCCAACCACAGAAACAGCTGAGTGCTGACTGAGGAGGGCACTATGTTCTTCCTGTAATCTCATGAGCAGTTCCAAGATGAACAAATTGGAAAATGGACAGTCAGAGTCTTCCTGAGAGCGGGGACGGTAAGGTGCATTGGGGTCGTTCTTTGATGTCTGTGGGGAAGTCACTCTACTCTCTGTGGACTTAATGACACCTGGAGCACCAGGTGTGTCAAGTGACACTTCCAGCCTTGAACAGCAGCACAGGACTGTGGGTGCCACCAGGTAAAGCTGTACCGTGTGCTGGCTCCATTCTCTATTTTCAGGGTGGGCTGAAAGCAAGCCGCCCCAGCCTAGTTCAGTCACTTTTCTCCACTGAGTTCCTGGCTCCAGAATTCTACTGAGTCTTGGCCCAGGTCACGGTGGATCTGGCTCCTGAGACTTTCAGGCAACGTGAAATGGAGCTAGTCAACTAAAACATCTTTTTCCCCCTCCAGGAGGTACCTGAAGGCAGCGATCGGTCCAAAATTGGGCCAATGACAGACCAAATTCAACCGCTAAACCAAAATTTAAGGTTGCAATACAGAAAATACGCATGCATATCTAATTTCCCACAAGGTGTCTTAATATTTCACCTTCTGAGGTAAGAAGCCTAAGCCATATGACACCCTGTCTCACAATGAAATGGGGCGGGTTTGGGGGGATGGCTAGCACAAAACTAACAAGAAAAGAAAATGTAATTCTCATAGCCCTGGTAACTATGGTAACTGCTTTCCCTGGAATGATTTCAAGTAGCCACTGTTAAAAACAGTTATGGGAACTCTGGTAGCCAATGACAGAGACTTAATGGGTAGGGCGAAAAAAAAAATCTCCAAAATGTGTACAATAGATTGAAGACTCCTGAGACCCAGGGGGGCCTTGGAGACTTCTCTAAAATCAAAGTAATACAAACACAGAAATCTCTGGCAAGGGCTTCTTCAATTGGTGAGAAACAGATCACAGGTCACAGCCTCTTAAGTAGCCTTCTGTCATCCAGACACAAAAGAAAAAGAGGTTCCAACACATTCCTGGAGGAATGGCAAGATGGTTCAGTGGGCAAACACACTTGCTGCCAAGGTTGACGACCGTAGTTTGATCCCCAGAACGCGCGTGGTAGAAGGGGAAAAATGACCGTTGGTTCCTGACTTCCACACACACGTTATGGCAAGAGCTCATCCACACTCACACATAAAATAAATGCTTCAAGAAAAAAGTTTAAAAAGCTAGGATTAACTTCTACTACACAGCTACATTCAAGGCCAGCATGGGATGAGACCCCGTCTCAACAATAATACATAATAAAAAGAGAATATCCCGGATACAATTTTAAGATTTGGGTTTTTTTGTTGTTGTTGTTTTGGAATTGGATTTTTTCAATATTGGGTTTCTCTGTGTAGCCCTCGAACTCGCTTTGTAGACTGGGCTGGCCTCAAAACTCAGAGGTCCACCTGCCTCTGTCTCCCGAGTGCTGGGATTAAAAGCATGTGTGACCATGTCCAGTCCTGAAACCCTGTCTTACAACAAAAGCAGAAATGAAAAATCTACCAGAAATTCCAAATTTTTTTGATGTGCTGGGGAAATGGAAATAAGGTTTGTTTCTTTGTCCTCCTTGCCCTCCTTTGTCCTAGAGTGAGAGCAGAAGCTGGCCATGGCGGCTTTCCCATTCTCCTTGTTGGTCGAGTCTAGTAAGTCATCAAAGGATCCTTGCCTTTCCACAAGCATGCGCTATTTACTATAATTCACGGGGAAGCGAAAAGGAACAGAGACGCCTCTTAGCAGGACATACCTATGTTGTTATTCCTCTCACGGAGAATGTGGATATTCCTTGAAGAGTTGAACACTTGGGCCAGTCAGATCTGATCTTGTATTCAAATTAACCTAAAAGCTGAAGAGAAGCAGATGTAGGTTAGGCTTGCGAGAACAAGACAGCACCCTTCCTTTTGTGCTGTTTGGAGACAGGGTGGCCGAGGCACCGCACCGACTGGCCTTGAATTCATGTCACCCCCCTTGCCTGGACTTCCCAAGGGCTGGTATTATGGGTATGTGCCACCATGCCTAGCCAATAACCCATTTTAATTGAAACATAAGCAGTCTGCTTTTCTTTTCTCTGCGCTTAAAGTCTTTAGGGGAAAGGGCAGTTTCTTTAATTAACATGTCTGCAATGCTCTTGAACGTTCTCACAAACTGGCCGTGGGAAGGCTTTGTGACCTCACCAAGAGCCAGAGCTCCATGTTCCTCCTGACTACAGCAAACTCAAGCCTACTTTTCCTCTTCACCAGTGCTCACAGACAGGTGCCATCGCTGTGATAGATGACGTAATTCAGGCTTTGGAGCAAGACAGCACAGCGAGTCACACCCTCTCTCCAGACAGGTAGCGATGGAGGGGAAAATGGGAGCCACGGGAAGTAAAGAGCACAAGGACAGGGTTCCAAAATACAAAGAAAAGCGGCAGCTAAATACAGTGCTACCTGAAAGCCACCGAGAGAAGTGAACAAGGAAAGAAAGGGTACCAAGCACAGAAGACACTGGAGGCTGGTCCCAAGTCACAGGTATGCAGGCAGCGCTGGGACCTGAGCCCCAGTAGTTTCTGATTCGCCAGACTAAAACTGCTAGAGAAAATGAAAGGCAGGTGAAGGAGAGGCTCCCTAGCCATCACAGCGACCTTGTTCTCCTTGACATTTGTAGAGTTCTTCCATATTCCAAGACAAATTAGCCAATTTGTCTTGTATGGTAAGGCTGGAACTGTGGAGCAACGTCCCCAGCCACATCACAGGCCACCTGGGCCCAGTAGGCCCAAAGGCTCAGCTGCAGGAGGAAAACAAGACACAGCCCAGGCTCAAGAGCTAAGCTGCCAGGTTCCAAAGCTACAGAGAAATCCTGTTTCAAATAACCAAAAACAACAACAACAACAAAAAAGATCTAAGCTTCCGGCCCACAGCCTGGTGTTATCTTTGCCTGGCTTTGCAAAGCAGCAGCGGTGAGTGTCTCACTCTATAGCTCAAGCTGGCCTTGAACTCTTGGCAGTCCTCCTGCTTCAACCTTTTTTTGTACTGGGATTATAGATGTGAGTCACCATGCCTTGGGTAGATCTGCACTGGCTGAATATTTAAAAATATCAAGTGTATGCACAAATGATAAAATCATAGCAAAGTTTCGAAAAGTAAACAAAGTCAAAGCTTATAGGATGTGTTTGGTTTACTTTACCATTCATCAATTAAAGCCTAAGTATGCCTAAACTTCCCATAAACACTTGAGGTAACTTTGACAAAGCCCTTTTACTTGGGATTGTGTCTTGTTGAGTAAACTGACATGCTCCCGGCTCCCTTGCAGCTAGGTGAGTCCAAATGACTAAATCCTGGCCAATTTTAAATGATCTGGTTGTAAGAAAACTCCATAAAAGGCAATCAGCCCTTTGCCCTCTTCCCTTCCTGCCTCCCTGAAATGCAGACAATATGGCTGCAGTTCCAACAGGCATCTTAGGCCATGAAATAACCTTGGAGTAACTCTATAAGCCTATTAAAACCAACAGCCTAGAAGGTGATTTAGTGGAGCCACCACTTCAGACCTCGGTCATCTGACTCAGGATTTCTTCCATGTGAAAGGATAGTTTAACCACTGTTAATTCTAGATGCTTCCACTATACAATTTCCAATGACACATAAGGAAATAGTATATACCCACATCTCTGGGATGCTAGAAGCATCAATTGCCAGGTATAAGATGCTTCCATTGCTACTTATAAGAGTGTTTTCATTTCTTTTCAAAATTCACTAACTATTTTATTACTAGAGAGAAAGCTTGAGGGCTAGGGGCGGAACTCAGTGGCATGACACTTCTAAAAAGTGCAAGGCTTGGGTCCATCACTTCCTTCAGGGAAGGAAGGAATTCATGAATGCATTCATGCTAGCTGGCTTCAAGACAGCAACTAACAAATGAAAAAAGCTTAAATCCTGTACAGGGAAAATAAACACAGCGACAAACACAACGACTATGTATGTAAGTCCAGCTAGATCAACTCTGGGTTTTCTGCCCACCAGAGGAGAAAGAGAAACCCAGCCAGATCAGTGGGTCGCGAAGTGGAAAGAGCTAGCCGAGCGTTCTGACCCCGCAGGTGCACAGCATGCACGCGGTGGAAGGAGGGCCTTTCTGGCACAGAACTGCTTTACAGATGTGCAGGACTCTATAGAGGGGACTTTCATCGACAGACAGTGCCCTCCTACAGCTATTTTTAAAGAGCAAATGCAGCAAAGAATTAATTTCCTCAACCCTTAAAAAATGAAAAGGTTTTAAAATTCAATTCTGGGCAGACAAGTCCATAGATGGTTTACAATTATGAAGACCCGAATTCACAGCTTTGGCCTAAGGCTTGAATCTGAGGGTTCTTGGCAGCAAGCCAGTTTTGCATGCCTCTAGGGAGTGCACCCTTAAATCCTAGCAGGCTTAAGTAGACGACTACTGGCTGGGTGCTCAGCATGGCATGGAACCACAATTAAGTACCACCTGCATACAACTGGGGGAAACAAGCCAGGATTTTATGCACTCTAGGAACTTGGAGATAAGAATACTTGAGTAAGGAAAGTCCTGGAACAGCTATATCCAGAACTGGACCTCAGTGTATCAAGTCTAGGACTTTAAAAGTGGGTGTGTGTGTATAGTAAATACCTACCTACTTATCAGTCTATGTGGGTATTAAACTAGGAATCACCGGGCAATTCCAAAACAAAGCTCTTCGCATGCATTTTGTCTCACCTGTTTTATTTTATGGTGGTAACTCTCTCCGTTTTTCTTTTTTACAAATCTGACCCGGCACTTATCAGTAAACATTCTGAATGTGCTGAATTTCATGATCATGGCAGCCAAGTAAGGTCAGGCCTGGTCATTACTCAGATGGAAGATATACCAAACTCAACACCTTGAGCTATTTTGAGTGCTCCCCCTTCTCCATTTTCTAGGCTGATGAAATCCGGTGGAAATGGGTCCCAAGCAGTCTTAGATGAGGAAAACATGTCACAGGAGGGCTGTGGAGTCTACAGGAATGGGGCCAGCCTTTCCCCGCCTGTCTCCATTGAGTTGGGCTTCCCATGTGCCTATAGTGATCTTTTCTCCGTGGGTTACCCTACACACCAGTCCTGCTACTTTATGAATAAACATTGGTGCTGTGGCTGATAGTTAGTGTTCTATTGCTCATGCATACAGCATCCAAAAGACAATGTAGGTGCCGTCAAATGTCCAGCATCAGGTCATTAGAGGAGCTCTCAGCGCTACTGCAGGGCTCTAAGACGGGCTTGGCTGGTATTTCCACCTATGCTGCAGGCCTAGGCAGTGCCTCCCACGCTTCCATTGCTCACCCACGGCCAAGGGTATCACTTAGGACAGAGGTCCCTGCATAGGACCTGGGACCTGGAACCTGTTAGGCCTGGTCACCTTGAAAGAGGCACTTAGCTTTTCAGGCCCTAAGGATCTCAGCTATAAAATGAGAGGCTTGAGATAGGAGTAGAAAACTCTTTCAGTTTGAAACATCTGAGATTCTGGGGATACAACCGCAGTCATTGGCTAAAAGGTGTGGGGGACGGGGACGACTCTCTCTATGCTGTGTGACAGAATGCAGCCCCTACCTTCCTGCCTCAGACCACACACAATAAAATCCAAAGACCTCAAGGCCTTTGTTCTTTCTTCAAATAAATTAAAGTTCTATATTTTCCGCTGTGTAATTCATACCAACAATTCCATTATATTACTGCAGTAAGTGTCTCAAAATATCGACTATTATCATCATCACTACTAAATTCTCTTCCCTTTTTATCTCAGCACGCTTCTTAATCTGACACCCAGGAATCACACAAAAGCCACCTGGCTAATGAACACAGAAGCCTCGTCAAGCAATGGAACGGCTGGAGGAAGAGCTGCTGGGACTGCCGCCAACAAGATGAAAATGGATCCCAGGACACTCTCTCCCAGAGTTCTCCACAGAGGAACCCTACTAGCGTTAATACATCACTGGTTAATGGATGGTGATCTTCAAGTTCCCCCAAAGGGCTCTAAGAAGCTGGGCATGGTGGTACCCACGGGGGGGTACCAGGACTCAGTGGGATGGAGGCAGGACTGTGGGCAAGCTCCAGGCCAGCGTGGTCTGGAGCACAGTGAGAAGCTCTTTCTTAAAGAAGTTTCAAGCTACCATTGCTCCTGGTTTTATGCTAACGGCCTTCCAATATTCCCAGCATGTCCTGCAGAGGGACCCTCCTGTGGAGGTTAAACCTGCCCCTTATATTTACTTCCCCTTGCCAGGAAGCCCACGCTTCTCCCCGCCCTGACTCACAACTCTAGGCCAGCACACCAAAGGCCTCTGGCAACTGAAGTTGTTAAGGGGTCAAGGAACAACACTCTGCCACAAAAATATGGCCTGTGTTCACTCCATGTCATCCTGATGTGGCAAAAAAAGAAAAAAAAAAAGCAGTCAATCCTAGAGTGGGCAGCACAAGACCTTTGAAGAGAATGAAAAAGAGCCAGTTCCTGCCACTTCACTGAGAAGTCAGAGCTGCCATATGCCACAGGAGCTAAGTGATAAACCCAGCAGAGGATGGACAGGAGGAAGTTCGATGTCCACTCAAGATGTGTCTTGGCACCTTTGAGTTATTTACCACCAGTATAAGTTACTTATCTATTGCTGTGCCAATACCATGACCAAGGTGTTTGGGCTCACTGTTCCAGAAAGCTAGAGGCAATGGCGGTGGGCAGAACTGGCGGCAGGAAGCTGAGGGCCACATCTTGAACATCAAGCAGGAAGCCGACATAGAACAGGATTGACTCCAGGTTTTCACACCTCAGAGCCCATCCCTAGTGACACACTTCATCCAGCAAGGCCCCACCTCCTAAACCTCCCTAAAT